CGTTATATGACAAAGAGTGCTGGGAAGACGGGACACCACGAGCGTAGCTCTCATCCTGTAACTACACTTAGGTAATTACACTTAGGTAATTACACACACACACACACACACACACACACACACACACACACACACACACACACACACACACACACACACACACACACACATAAGGACTGAAGGACTAGGAGACAAAAGCCATCCATAACTTCAAAAGCATTTACGATAGAGAAATAGATCAGCAGCCATTGCAATAGACAAATACTGGGGTCCAGGTGCTAATAGCTCAATCCAGCAAACACAAATATACCTCATAAACACCCACACAAACAACCTATATGTATATACATATATATATATGTCCACAAACAACATATCCCAAATATGCAAAACTGCCAATAATCAACACGATTCGATCCGAACCCTGAGTGTTAGTGAGTTATATAACAACATCTTCGCTGTTGAAGTCAGGACCAAACAAGGTTGTTGGCTGACTGGTTCTGGTATTTCCTGACAGCCAAAGAGTGCCCAGGCCACTCCCCCCCCCCCCTACAAAGGTCAGACAAGTTTCACTGGAACAAATATCTGAAGACTTTCGCATGTGTGGAATGTCACATATTGTCGTATGTGGGGCAGTAGTGTGAGCTACTGCAGTGATTTAGTCAGTAGTTAACTAACTAGTAGTTAACTTGTCAGTAGTTGTGAGTTAACTGTATCTCCCATGGATAGCTTTTTCAGTTATCTTAATTATATAAAAAAGATATCTTTAATGGCACCTTTTATAGCACTGCCAAAATATAATTCCCATCTTTATAGAAATTATTATTATTTTATGGTGGGAATTTTGACATTTGTCACTGGGTATTTATGCGGATAATTTACATATGTTCAGAGGTTGAGAACACGAGTCAGCAGTGAAAGTGCGAACCGGTTACTACAGTGTGTGTAGGGAGGGGGGGGGGGGAAGGTGACACAGGTGCCTGTGTGGGGAGAGAGAGGGGTGACACAGGTGCTTGTGTGGGGAGAGAGAGGGGTGACACAGGTGCTTGTGGTGGAGAGAGAGAGAGAGAGAGGTGACACAGGTGCCTGTGGTGGGGGAGAGAGAGAGAGAGAGAGAGAGAGAGAGAGAGAGAGAGAGAGAGAGAGAGAGAGAGAGAGAGAGAGAGAGAGAGAGAGAGAGAGAGAGAGGGGGGGGGGGTCACACAGGTGCCTGTGGTAGGAGAGAGGGGTGACACTGTCACCTAATGAAGGGGGTTACAGCAGAATAGGGTGACACAGCCATCATGGCAGTGGAATGGGGCGCTGGAGATCAGTAGGAGGAAGAAGGGGGGGTGGGGGGAAGTGTGACTGAGTGAGGGTGATGCAACAGCAAACTGCGTAGGCTTCAACATTGTTGGTGCATGAGACTGCACCAAGGTTAGGCCATGGCTGCCATTGCACTAGGTCAAACTAGGGCCCCGACTGCTCTACATGGTGCCACGGCCATCATTGCATCACTCCTCCCCTTCACTATCACTCTGGGAAATGATTGCGACCAGTGGCTCCTCCATCAGGAGGTCGGGAAGCCCCAGAGCGATGACGCGAGGCCCGGCGACCACCTGTGTGAGATGTGTCGCTCTTCCTGGGAATTGAGAATTTGTGACTCATTGAGTTAACCGCCTTCTGCCGAGGTCACGGGGGGCGGAGCCTGGCTGGTCACCGCCCCCCGGCAGCACACGCCGCTTCCAGACGTGTCTGGAATTTTAACAATTACGTCTCGTCCGCCATGGAGAAGCCTGATTACAAGAGGCGCAAGTGAGAGGTGGCGATAGGCAAGAGGTAGAGAGAGAAAGAGAGGAGAGTGTAGATGCGTGCGTGTGGCCTCGACGGCGGCGCGGGTGCGTGTGTGCGTGCGTGCTGGAACAGGCAGCGTGGGCGCCAAAAAGTATGGTCGTGCGTCTGGCACGCACGCCGGCAAGCCCCGCCCCATACTCGCGTCACATGTGCTGTGCCTCATATTCCCGGAGTCAGCAGTAAACAACAGGCCGTGGTGGACTTCGTAACCCAGAGAGCCATCCACGGCACCAACTCCGTTATATCCACGATTGTGTAGTGCCCCAGCCTCTTCTCTCTCACGCACACTCGTCAGTCGCAGTGACAGATTAACGAATCCTTCTGCAATTGACATCATTTATCTAGTGCGAGGTGGACAACTACGTAGTAGGCTAAGCCAGGGTATTGGTAGCCTAGCGATGGTGCCAGTCAATGAATGTTGCTTAGTGACACACTGGCGCTGCGCGTAAACATCGCTCGGTTCAGTCCAAGTTGAGCAGTGGTGGTGTGAGGTTGTGCTACCGCTGCTCTCCGCCCTCCCGACACCTTTTCCACTAATTACCGGTTACGTGAACTGAACGCGAGTGACACCCGTTTAGGCCACAAATGTTGAAGCGACACGCATGTACGTTATAGCACCAGCACACTGCAGCGGTGGCGTCTGAAAATAGCCATCTAAATGGTGTCGCGAGCAAAGAATACAACGGGGACGATGGCCCTTCACTGTTCGCAAGCCAAACTGTGGGTCAAGACCCACTACGAGCGTCACGAGGATGGTGTTGTGGCCAAGTCTGTCATGTACAAACATTACGAGGACTTCTGCAGAGACCAGGGCCGCAACATCATGGAGACCAGCATCTTCGGCCGAGTGGTCAAGTCTGTGTTTCCTGACGTGACTATCCGTAGACTAGGAGGTCGCGACAACCTGAAATACTACTACTGCGGTATTCAAGCCAAAGAATCTTCGCCACACGCCATCGATAACGCCACCACCACTAGACCCAAGCGTCGCCTGCGGAAGCGAGAGATTCCTCCGGACAAGGGCGACGTCCATAGATGCCTGGTGTGGCTACATAAGAACTATTGCCTCACACCTGACTCCTCCGTCATGAAGTCTGAGGTGTACGACCGTTATGTCCTCGAGTGCATAGCAGGCGCAGGCGAGCCGTTATCCATGCAGAACTTCCTCATTGTGGTCAGCCACGCCTTCCCACAGGTCAAGAAGAAAAAACTTATGCCACGATCTAATCAACATAAATTTTATTTCGGCCTGCAGGAGCGGCCCGCCCCTCTACCCCTCGACACTGCCCCTCCGGAGCTGATGCGTGTGGTCGACTTCATGTTCAATAACGGCAGGTTATGTTATCGCTCAGAGCTGGAACACGACGAAGATGACGAAGATGACGATGACTGCAGCTGTCGCAGTCCGGTCTCCGACACGTCGGAAGGTTCCCTGCGCGACGCCCACACGCCCCTCTCCGGTGAGCCGCCCGGCGCCCACGCCCTTCACTACTTCCACACCTACATCAAGGACGAGCCCGTCGACTACAGCCTCCAGCACTTAAAACTGAAGGACGAGCCTCTGGACGACGAGTTCTCAGTCAAGGAGGAGCCGCTAGACCTTCACATGCCTCGGGACGTGCACGACATGGACACCTCATACATGGCCAGTCCGGAGCGCTCTCCCTCAGTAGCCACGTCCATAAGTGACTCTCCAAGTCCGTCAGTGAAAGACCAAAAAACTAGAAAAATTTATAAACCTCGTTTTCACATTATATCAGATTACAATGACGAGGGAAGTTGGAACAGTGATACGGATCCTAAGTTGGAGAAGTTTGAAGTTCAGTATTGTAATAATTCCGTTCAGTCACAGTGGGAGACGTTTCTGAGAGACTGGTTATCTCGAACATTTGAGGAATGTGAGCGAATGTGTGTGAATAGAGATCAGGTATACGCGTATTATGAGAAGTTCTGTGAGATGTCAGGCACGACAGTCCTGCCTCTCACCTATTTTGACGAGACGGTGTTCAAGGTGTTCTGTGGTGTTGTGACCATGATTCACCCGAGCGAGAAGACATTTTATGAGGGAATTCGTGTCCAATTACATTCCGATTTGTATAGTCGTATTGAAGAGTTGACTGATGGGGAGCCGTTGATCCATCATTTAATAGAGAGTGAGGTGAGTATGCAGCAACATTCCATGGAGCTCTCGCCCCCGCCTGGCGCCGCCCCCCGTATCTCTTCCCTCATGCTAGACGACGAAGACGTGGCTGACGAACCCTACGCTGATAACTACCGCGACGCCCCTGAAGAGGAACTACATTCCACGCCTGAGGTCCTACGGGACGGCAAGTACTACCTACGCATGTGGTTGACGGATAACTTTGAGTCCGTACCGGACTCGTGCGTACTCAAGGCCGACGCTTATCGTCACTACGAAGCTTACGCTAAGTCCATCAAACAGACGCCCTTCGAGATGAATGTTTTCGGCAAGATTGTCCGTCAAGTGTTTCCTAAAGTGACGATCCGACGTCTTGGCGGGCGGGTCAAGCCCCAGTACCACTACTGTGGCATAGCTGTCAAGACCTCCAGTCCTCTCTTCCAGTACATGAGCGGCAGAGACCCGGCGCAACGCTCGCGGAAAAAGGAAATTGCAACGGACAACAAGAGTGCTGAGATTGTGATCGACTGGCTTCGGGGTCACTATGAGCCAGGCACTGAGAGAATCATCATGAAAAGCGCGGTCTTCAGCAACTATTGCATCTATTGCAAGTCTATCAATGAAAACCCCGTCACTCTGAACTATTTCGGCAAGTTAGTGAAGCATTGTTTCCCAAATGTTGAAGTCCGGAAGTGCGGAGGCCGGAGTGAGCCTATTTGGTATTACTTCGGTCTGGTGCCCCGAGGGGAGGCTGGGGCATCGTACCCCGGCGTGCCCCTGCACCACCACGACCTACACGACGACATCCAGGTGCCCCAGACACTCCCGGAGACCCGGCAGCTCAGCTCCATGGGTCAGCAAAACACGACCCACACTACTAGTCCCATTCCAATCTCCCTAAGCAAGGGAGATACCCACCTGCCCGCGCCCCAAAACGGTTCCTACAGCACGGCCTCCATGATGCTGCAGTCAGTTCTCCTCAACCAGCATGTCAATCTTGCTCAATCTCCACTCCTCAATCGCCGCTCTCCATTCCCCGGGTCTCCTGGCGAAGGGCTGCTGGAGGCGTCGTACCAGCGCCCGCCGCACGACCCTCTATACTGCGCCTCGCCCACGCTCACCTACCCTGAGCACCTCACCTCACACTCCCCTGCTGCTGAGGGCAGCAGCTTGCAGGAGCTGCGGCGCCAGCTGCTGGCCCGCTCCCCCTACGAGTCCGGAGACGTGCCTTCAGATAACATGTTCTCTCGGTCTCCTGGAGACTCCTCGGCCCAGTACTGTAGATCTCCTGGAGACTCATCGGCCCAATATTGTAGATCTCCTGGAGACTCATCGGCCCAATACTGTAGATCTCCTGGGGATTCCTCGGCCCAGTATTGCAGGTCTCCTGGGGACACCTCGGCCCAATACTGCAGATCCCCCAGGGAACTGCTTGACGGAGACGCCAGCATGGCGGGTCATTCCCCAGCGGAGACGGCCATCATGTTCTCCCACTCGCCGCTGGAGGCCAACTACCCCGGGGCAGTGAGACCGCGGTCGTCACTAGCGGGGGGCAGCAGCGGGGGGCAGGTGGTGCCGGGCCTCACCCACCAGCACGCCCTCCCCCACGCACACAAGAGACACCGGCCGCAGCTCCAGCCCCACCTCGACCACTACGACATGCTGGACGATATTCACCTGGAGTGACCGTCACTCCTTCCTCTTGTTCTGGTGAGTTACCGCTCGTCGCGCCTCGGTCACTCATTGGGGAGGGCTGGTAGGGGTGTAGGTGGGCTGGTACGGGTATAGGAGGGTTGGTAGGGGTGTAGGAGGGCTGGTACGGGTATAGGAGGGTTGGTAGGGGTGTAGGAGGGGGCTGGTAGGGGTGTAGGAGGGCTGGTATGGGTGTAGGAGGGGACTGGTAGGGGTGTAGGAAGGCTGGTAGGGGTGTAGGAGGGGGCTGGTAGGGGTGTAGGAAGGCTGTTAGGGGTGTAGGAGGGTTGGTAGGGGTGTAGGAAGGCTGGTAGGGGTGTAGGAGGGCTGGTAGGGGTGTAGGAAGGCTGTTAGGGGTGTAGGAGGGGGCTGGTAGGGTATAGGAGAGGGCTGGTAGGGGTGTAAGAGAGGGCTGGTAGGGGTAGAGAAGTAGTAGTACAAAAAGTCTCCATCACCACCAAGGTACGACAATGGTTCAGGAACCTGTACACCTGTTGATTGACGGTTGAGAGGCGGGACCAAAGAGCCAGAGCTCAACCCCCGCAAGCACAATTAGGTGAGTACAATTAGGTGAGTACGACAACCTCACCACCAAAGTACGACAACTTCATCACCAAAGTACGACAACATCACCACCCGTGTACGACACTTTGTTTACATAACTCCTACTGGGTGTCCCCAGTGACTGATAAGCTGATTGTACCGATAACCCAAAGCGGACTGGTTGGGTTGTTACACGGGAACAAGCTGAGAGTGATCATAGTGAAGGGCTGCAGTGATGTAACTATGTCTGGGGTAGTTATAGTGACTTGTCTGGGATGGTTGTAATGTGTAGAAGGTCGTCTGGCAGCTATGTGGTTAGGTTGTTATTGTATGGTAACTAATTGCATGGTTAGGTTGGCACCAGGTCATTAGGGAGTTTAGTGGCGTTTGGTGATTAATTGGTTGTTGATAGTGATGTAATGGTTATCCAGGTGTGTAGATAGTGATGTAATGGTTATCCAGGTGTGTAGATAGTGATGTAATGGTTATCCAGGTGTGTAGATAGTGATGTAATGGTTATCCAGGTGTGTAGATAGTGATGTAATGGTTATCCAGGTGTGTAGATAGTGATGTAATGGTTATCCAGGTGTGCAGATAGTGATGTAATGGTTATCTAACAGAGGTGATAGTGAGGTATGATGGGTAAGTGGGATGTGAGTAACTACCTATTGAAAGTGAAGTGTGGCAGAGAATGATAAGAATGATAGTGAGGTGTGGTGGTGTTGCGAGGGGGGGAAGGGGGGTGTATAGTGAGCCGTAGCAATGGTATTGTAGTTTCACCATAGTTTCAAAACATTGTACCCTAAAGCATTGTAGTGTCACCATAACTAGCAAGATTTGTGACTTATATTATCTAACAAATGGTGAACTGCAACAGTTGTTGAAGTGAGTTCTGTAAGATATGGTGAAGTTGGGCGGTTGTGAGTTGAAAGAGTTGTGAAATCTATTGTTTATGGTGAAATGTATTCGTGGGCATTTAGAAGGTATAGTGACATGGTGAAAACTGTGTAGTTTTCATTGACTGGAAATTATGAGGGGGTGTGGCGTTTGTGAGGTATTATGGTGAAAATTATGGTGAGTATTGTGGCAAATGGTGTTTAAGGGAGTCATAGTGACTGAGTGGTTTGGTGATTGACATAATTATGGTGATTGCTTGTTGTCAGAGGTATAGTGAGCGTAAGTGGACTACGGTGAGTGGCGATTGTCAGTTATGGTGACTCGTGATTGTGAGAGGTAAGCCTATGGTGAAAGGTAACTGTGAGAGGCAGGACTATGGTGAAAGGTAGCTGTGAGAGGTAGGACTATGGTGACTAGGGATTGTTAGAGTTATAGTGAGTGTCTATCTAGTAAAGTAGTATTGTGAATGGTGATTATGAAAACTAATTTCCCGAATAGAATTTGAAAATGTTTGCTAGTTCCAACAGAAAGAATATAGTGAGTAATAGTGAGAGGTCTTGTGATGATAATAAAAGATTGTGAAAATGATGGAAACAATGATGAATTTCACAGCCTAAACAAATCATTACAATAGTGACTTAAGGCAAGAGAACGGTTACATCCACTTCACTGATGTTACCACACAGGAATAAGAGAAAACGGAGACGCGTTTGAATGGGTAACTAATATTACAACACATCCTGAACGAAACTCAATCTTAACATTTCTCTTCGATTGCTTCTCTTTTCTTTAAACAAACGCGACGTAGCGATATAGATATCAATCTGATGTGTAATAAATTCAAAGAAGGAAGTTTACACACGTGACTTATAGATATCTGCTTCAGATGAGATAACATGTCCCAGTAATACGCTTGAGTTTGTCCCAGTAATGTCCCAGTAATGTCCCAGTTTGTCCCAGTAATACGCTTTTCAGTTTGTTCTCGACACATAATCTCGGATTCTTGGTTCGTATCCCGGGCGGGACAGACATAGTTGAGCGCATTTTCTATCACCTAATGCCTGTGTTCACCTAGCAGTGAGTAGGTGCTCAGGAGTTAGTCAGCCTGTGGGATTGCATCCTGAGTAGGGTCAGTAATTCGACCTTGGGGAAGAGAGACCTCGATAAAAGCCTAACGTGTATGAATACACGCTGGCTTCCTGTCCCCCCGACACAATGAATTATTATTATCAACGGATATTGATATACACGAGGCTCCTCACCTGGTCACCCACCCACTCACTGACAAGAACTAACAGTACTTAACCTGGCTAGCATAGTGATACAAAGAAGGTTATTCATAGATATGATTATAGGCTTAGTAGCCCCGTAAGTGTTTACAAAGTCAATAGGCCTAATTACGCACATTATTTTGAGCAAATTGGAACTGCAAGTCAACCAATTTAAGCCTTGGATAGGCTTCTATATTGTCGATAACAAGTTTGTTTGGATAGGCTTCTATATAGACCCAAATCTTAAAGCAAGTTGGCAGAACTTGTGTAATAGTTTTTATGCCAATAGGCCTACAATTTCATTTGTTGATTTGACCACACACTAGAAGGTGAAGGGACGACGACGTTTCGGTCCGTCCTGGACCATTCTCAAGTCGATTGTGGACAAGTCGATTCTCACAATCGATTTGAGAATGGTCTAGGACGGAGTGAAACGTCGTCGTCCCTTCACCTTCTAGTGTGTGGTCTGGTCAACAAATAATGGTGACATTGGAGAAAAATAGCGGGTTAATACTAGGGTAGAATATAGTGATAGGCCTCATAAGAGTGGTTAATAAATATCTGTGAAACAATTTAGAAAATTTGACCGGGAAAGGCTAGGCTAAGCACCATGGATAATGAAATATAATGCTGTTTCATTGTGTCGGTTCAAGGAAGCTATACGCCAGTGAGGATAGTTGGATATGAGCAGTATTCCTCGGGACGAGGATAGGGAGGCATAGGATAGATCTACGTGTATCAGGATGGAGAGAGTGATACTGTGCGCTAGGATACATGGAGGATACGTGTAGGATAGGACTTTAGGATGACAAGACAAAGATATGTAATAATACACATGCGCGTATTAAGAGTGAAATTGTAGGATCCGTGTATCAGTTTGTAAGGAATGATACTGTAGGATACAAGTATCAGGATATAAGGAGGGATATTGTAAAATACAAGTATCAGAAGGTATGAAGGACTGCATGAAATAGTACATAAATGTCCATATTACTTGATAATTTTAGCGTCACTAGGCTTCTTTGTTGACATATGACTCCACTGAGTCAGACTAGAAAGTTACTGCCTCGCGGCTCGTGAGATTTACCTCGTGTTATGTCTGTCTGGGAACACTTTCACGTCTGAATTGCCGCATCAGTCTAGGCTTTTTTCTTGAGTTCACCTTAGGGGCCACTTAGTGGCCTTGATGGGGACAGGAGGCCGACGGCTGGTCGATGGTCCCCAAACCTATGTTCGAAGAGAAGCAATGTTTAATAGGTGTACTTATTTAAGCACTGGATATTATTATTATTAGCATCTTTATTGACAAAATTAAAATACAATTGGTGCCTAATCGGAGTAATTCACTTAGGCTTATTACAGTGAGGATTATGTATTTTGAATTAGGACTTTATGATGATTCCGAAAGCTGATTTTCGAGCTAAATAAGGGTGACGGGTGACAACTCTCCAGTGATGTCATCAGCTAGGTAAGGATAGATAAGTCGGTGATATAGTGTGATAAGAGATGTAACTTAGAGAGGAAGTGTTGAAGCTGGTGTCAAAGCTTTTAGGGAATGATTAGATCTAAGACACGTCGACTATAACACTGATCTAGAGCCAAAATGCTTCTGAAACAAATGAGGTCAATCTTGACTAATTCTGATAACATCACGCCATAGAGAAGATGAGTGATGTTTAAAATTGTTGATTAGCTCTAGTTTTCCTTCAAGATGAGTCTTAAGACAGTTTTGTTGCATAATGGGAGTGTTTTTCCATCTTTGCCATTGGTGGTTGTTGTTGTTATAGATTCAGCTACTTGGAACAGGTTGCAAGTAGCACGGGATATGGTGAGCCCGTAACTTACCTGGCACAGGAGAGGGGCAAGAAGCACGGGCTATGGCGAGCCTTGATGCCATTGGGTTATGAAACCCTTTATGAAGGAAATTTACAATATGAAACAGCTTTTCAGATGCATGAACTATGAGAAACATCAGTGGCAGCTACACAAAGCAGTGCTTTGGTCTTCATGAGTGGGATATAGTCCTGTGAGAGCTTCCACCTAGATTCAAGTTTAAGCATGTTTATTGAGACAAGAAAATACATCTCAAAGGGATAGCGTAGCTTAGGCTATTGGAGCTTGGGAGAAAACCGTTCAGCATCCACCAATTCTTAAATCAAGCGAGATTTCATTACCACCCACACACATAAAACAATGGCTGATTAGCAATTTTGATTAATATATTTAAATTTAGCACATCTAGATGCATGATAAATAGCACTATTCACCTTAGAATAAAAAAAACGTTTGAGAAATTGAAGTTGAAAACCTTAGCCTACCGTAATAAATATTTTATATAGGTGGTATAATTCTTATTTGAATAAAGGCCCATAGGGTACTGAACTATTTAAATACAAAATAGTATAACTAACTTTATTAAAATGCTCACATAGGCTTGGATAGTGTCACATTTTAAACGATTCGGAAATGCCATTACTAGTTTTTAGAGTTTGTAGACTATAGCAATGTTGTATATGAGGCTATCTGAGTGTCTGTGATGATGTGGCCATTATATTTTATAGTTCTTTAATTAGGCACCCCATACTCATCCTGTGGGTGGTAGTGGACCCCATACTCATCCTGAAGGTGGTAGTGGACCCCATACTCATCCTGTGGGTGGTAGTGGACCCCATACTCATCCTGTGGGTGGTAGTGGACCCCATACTCATCCTGTGGGTGGTAGTGCATCACATATTCATCCTGTGGATGGTAGTGGACCCCATACTCATCCTGTGGGTGGTAGTGCACCCCATACTCATCCTGTGGATGGTAGTGCACCCCATACTCATCCTGTGGGTGGTAGTGGACCCCATACTCATCCTGTGGATGGTAGTGCACCCCATACTCATCCTGTGGGTGGTAGTGGACCCCATACTCATCCTGTGGGTGGTAGTGGACCCCATACTCATCCTGTGGGTGGTAGTGGACCCCATACTCATCCTGAAGGTGGTAGTGAACCCCATACTCATCCTGTGGGTGGTAGTGCACCCCATACTCATCCTGAAGGTGGTAGTGGACCCCATACTCATCCTGTGGGTGGTAGTGCACCCCATACTCATCCTGAAGGTGGTAGTGGACCCCATACTCATCCTGTGGGTGGTAGTGCATCACATATTCATCCTGTGGATGGTAGTGGACCCCATACTCATCCTGTGGGTGGTAGTGCACCCCATACTCATCCTGTGGATGGTAGTGGACCCCATACTCATCCTGTGGGTGGTAGTGCATCACATATTCATCCTGTGGATGGTAGTGGACCCCATACTCATCCTGTGGGTGGTAGTGCACCCCATACTCATCCTGTGGATGGTAGTGCACCCCATACTCATCCTGTGGGTGGTAGTGGACCTAATACTCATCTGTGGGTGGTAGTGGACCCCATACTCATCCTGTGGGTGGTGGTGGACCCCATACCCATCCTGTGGGTGGTAGTGGACCTCATACCCATCCTGTGGGTGGTAGTGGACCCCATACCCATCCAGTGGATGGTGGTGGACTCTATACTCATCCTGTGGGTGGTAGTGGACCCCATACCAATCCTGTGGGTGGTGGTGGACCCCCATACCCATCCTGTGGATGGTGGTGGACCCTATACTCATCCTGTGGGTGGTAGTGGAGAAGGTTACAGGGGCACATAATGGGCTCAGGAGACAAATATATGTTCTGCGAACTTACATGGCGGTGTTGCCATCAAACTCTCCCGGAGTTTTTGTGGCGATGTTGCCATCAAAGTCTCCCGGAGTTTTTGTGGTGATGTTGCCATCATAGTCTCCCGGATTTTCTGTGGCGATGTTGCCAGCGTCGGCAATACAGATTGTATTATAAGTCCATGCAATACATATGTCAATATTATCTGATATAGCGTTATGGATGACGTTGCGTGAACATGTTGGCAATCAAACCTCTTAAAGTTGTGCTAACATTGTTGCCAAAAATTAGCACGATAGTTGTTGCCAACCCAAGCTCCTGGAATTCCTCTCATTATGATGGGAAGCTTAGATCAGTGATTCTGTTACGAATCTTTGCTTTTATTTATTTTTAATTTGTAGATGCGTTAATATTCACACACACACACTCTGACTAAAGAGCTAGAGCTCAACCCCCCACAAGCACAATTAGGTGAGTACATGGGGCCTCGCGACTTAGTGGACAGCGCTCGGGGGTCATACTCCTAAGGGCCCAGGTTTGATTTTCAGCCGAGGCAGAAACAAATGGGCAGATTTTCTTTCACCCTAATGCACCTGTTCACCTAGCAATAAATAGGTACTGCTAGGTACCTGGGAGTAGCAGATTCTATTGTTAATTTTTATTCTTATATATGTTCTATATTGTTCTATGTTTATTATATTATTCTATATGTTCTATTTTACACACACACACACATATACGGGG